TCCTAGGTACACATTAGGCTCTAACCAATATTTTGCACACTAGGCAGGTACCATTCATGAACTCTCAGTGAAGGACTTTCATACAATTTCAAATTCTAAATCTCCATAGAAACATCTTTATGAGGAAGATAAGGTTAGAATCTTTCCTCGGTCTACATGGATTAAAAAAAAAAAATCTTTTTAAAGGCCACATTATTGCAAAATGTCAACCAGCTAGGAAAGACTTTGAGTCTAGGTCTGGGTTCCAAGCAGGGAACTTGAAAATCTTACAAAGCCACACTATTATCTCAAGGAAATGTTTCTTACTCTGAAAAAGAAAAAGGGAAAGTTCCAATCGAAGGCTAGACAGGCTGTACTAAATGATTAGATGAAAGCATGATTAGAGACTGTTAGCACTAGCACTGATTTTGTTGCAATACCCAAGGAGACAGCTTGGTTTTTTAAAAGTTAAATAATGTAATTTCAATCTACAAAAGATTTTCCACTCTTTACAAAAGAATTTCTGAAGTTGCACAGTACTTTTACCAACCATATTAGATATTCTGGTAGTTAACAAAAAAAAAAATGACATAGCTTAGTCAAATATGAAATGTTACAAAATAAAAAGCAGAATCAAATACAGAAAAATGTGGAGTAACATCAACCAAAAGTCAGTTCATTAGTTCTTTTCTCAACAGATAGCCAAACACTAAGGACTGCCCAGTATTGCATTATTAATATATGCTAAAATAAATACCACACAAGCTTAAAACCGAATACACTGAGAAACAAACCCTTATACACTTTGCATAACTGTAATTTTATTTAATTTCTTAAAATCCTGCCACTTTCCAATAAGTGACAGTAGCAAAAACTATTTCTATGAATGGACCATGATCAAAACCATTCACAGTACCTATTCAAACAACAATAGCATAAAGACATGGGCTAGCTCTTTGAAAAGCAGTCATAAGTCCATGTTAAAACTGAGAAAACTGATAATAAATGTGTGTATATGTATGTACATCATACATATATACACACATAACATTCTCAGCAATAAAAAGCAATGAACGATTGTTCACAAACTAAGCCTCTGAAAGAAAGTAATCTTTCCTAAAGAACTAATAATGGTCAGTTTGTTGATATTTATTTGGGTTTAAGTTTGGAATGTTCCCACTTATGGGTACGCTTAAAACAATGCAATAATTTTCTATTCATCCAATCCTGATCTTTCATACTCTTACCAGTCTTTAAAACAGGTGGGAATGGTGACCCGATTTTCCAACCATTATATCCCCCAGACATGACTAATTTGAAGCCGAGCAAATTGCACATAATAGACCAGGGAATCAAGTTCGTGATTTTTAGTCGGCTGCACTCTTGTTTCAGGGAGTGAAACATGGTCTCCTCCCCCTCCCCCCTTCCACCACCCTGCAGCTGCTTCTCCAGGAACAAAATTCACCAAACGTGAAATCAAAGGAAAATTATTTTTTAAAATTTCTGTAGGCTTATTTTTAAGAAGGCTAAAGATTAAGCTATATCTTTAAAAATATTTTCTTTTCCTTCAGGGGTTCTTATATTTTTAAATGAATTCTAAATACAAAATAAGTTATCCACTTAGGAAACCTTCTCAATACATAGGAAAATAATCAAATGCATGATTTTATAAAGGCTCAAAGTTTGTACAAAAGCATGGCATGGCATAATTCAGTGAATTCTTAAGTATCTCAAATTCTACCATATAAGATATTGCTTTCCAGAGCCTTCTTGCAAAATCCCATTAAAGGTTTAGCAGTATATAGACCCTGGCACAAAACAAACAAACAAGTACAAAAACAAATAAACCAAAATAAAAAACCTCGGTTCTAAGAAGGTTGTTGGAGTAGGGGAAGATCCCTCCTATTTCCTTTTTACCTAGTGTTTAAATTTTCCTCCATCGATTCTAGAAAGCTATAACCAAACGCCAGTCTGAATGTCATATAAAACTCTCAAAAGCACTGAGAAATTCATACAATTTCATAACTGAAAGGAATCTTAAACTCATCAACCTACCAGTGAGAAGATTGAAGCCTGTTAGTTAACTGAAAAGATGCCTCCTCACCAACTTAGGTGCATGGTTTGTCAATATTTTTGGGGGGTGGGGGTTGTTTTTGTTTTGCGAATATGTGTGGGGTGTACTTACACACTTACAATAAGGAGCTTTGCCATTCAGCTCCTCCCCTTTCCAGGTAGTCCTGTTTCCTTTCATCTAGGACAACAGTGATCAAAAAGGAACATTATACCAAAATACCAAGGCCAATTCAAAGTGAAAATTTCACTTTCTCACTTGGCCTCTGCAAATGAATTAGAAAGACACTACATAAGCAAGACACCTGACTTCCTACCATCAGTAGGGTTGAGCAGTGAAGGAGCTCTCCTTTTACTGGGGAGGGTGGAAGCAAAGGTTTCTGGATTTAGACTTTCCACTGCTCCTTTAGCTACTGATTCCACTTGTCTGCTTTCTTGAAGGTCCATCCTTTGCTTAGTTTCACCTGCACTCCAGTTTGCTAGGAAAACATATCACTTACCTTTTGTTGATATTTCCCATATTTGGGTCTTGGAGCATACCTAAGTTCTTAGATTTAACAGCTCTCCCCCCACCCCAAAAAAAAAAATCACTCTCTAAGTGGTTGAGATAAAGGCTAAGCCACTATTCAAAGTGTTTACAATGAAATGGATCTGGTCTTTTCAGCCTTCAGGCCAGAATTAGGGACACAGTCTCGGCAACTGAGGAAGGAGGAAAGGTAAGAGTTACACAACTTTCCCCAAGAAGTGTTATACAGAAATAGTTGTCTTATTCAAGGAAAACTGGGACTAAAGCAGTTCATATATTGAGGGGAAATCTAGACCTATCACTAACTTTTTCAGATTGTCACCAGGTGCGGTCACTATAAAATTCTATTGTAAAAACAACCCTTGGCCCATTTTACTCCAAACAAACTTCTCCTTGAACACACAACCTTTCTGAACCTATGGCAACTCCATCAGCAACTCGTGAGTGCCCTTGGACCTTCTCCTCCATATTAAGATTCCAGAAATGATGCCAGTTCCAGAAAGGCTCTAAGAAACCTACAACAGTGGATAATGGGCTAGATCAGCTTTAGAAAAGGAAAAAGAAACACACACCAACAAATACCAGGGCACTGTGTGTAATGGTTCGCTGCTTGTGCAAAAACCTCAAAGAGGATGAAGGTCAGACAGGGATAATAGGCCAATTTAATTCTGAAAGCACAAGGTGCAAGAAATTTTAATTATGGTCTGCCACTGAAATCACACAAGATCCAATGGCATCTAACTGCAACTGCTCATCAAGGGAGACAAGAGGTATAATTGTAACCGCTGCATAATCACTGTGAGGGCACAGGGAAGGCTGCCTTCAGCTCCCAGTAGAGAATGTATTAAGAGCCTCGAAAAATCCAATACAGGGTAACATGGAGATTGCACTTAGCTAAACAGGAGCTCATCGGGGTGAGGGGTGGGGAGGAGGTTTTCAAGAATAAAAAATTTAAGCTGTTTGACCCAAACTGAGGATATGAGCTTGGAAAACTCGGAATCTCTTTCTGCTTTGTGGATACATACACAGAGAAAGGCATGTTCTCCTCTAGAAATTTCTCTCCTTGAGAAAGCTTCACCCACTCTCCTTTGTTTAAACTGTTAGCTTGGATGTTACAGTGATTTACAGAACCAGACTCCCCTTTCATTTGTTCCCATCCAACCCCAGCCTGGAGACAAACGCCACGCACACTACTCGGGGTGCCCAAGCCTGTGCAGCTCCCACAACCACGACGACACCCGCACCACGCGGGCTCTGGACAAGAGACGCTCGCAGAAAGCCCCTCCATGGACTCTTCGCTCCGCAAAGTTTTTACAAATCTGCGAAATAAGGAAGCCAAGCCTTGCATCCGCACCCGCGGCGAAGTTGGCGCTGAAGTTTGCGCCGGGACGTCCAGAATCTCGAGGGGGAGGGGAAAGCGACTGTGCGGAGGGGCGGGAGGATGGAGATGAGACGGAGACACAGGAGAAGAAGGGAGTTTTCGGAGTGTAAGGTCCATGAAACCATCTTCTTCACCCGGAAGCCTGTTTAGCTAGAGAGGTTTGGGCGATACACGCCAGGGGAGGTCTCCCGGGGGAAGCTGTCACCTGCGGGGGGCTGTGTCGGGGGCCGCCCTCCGAGGCGCCAGGGCTAGACCTGGGGCTCCAGACTCACAGGCTCTCGGGGCTCTAAGAAATGGGGGAAGGGAGATTCCCCAGAGGCCAAATGCAGCACCTTTCTGATACGCGTTTTCCCTCCGACCTCTCCAACTTCCCGCGGCGCTGGCCGAGGACTTTCTCCCACCGAACCTCACCCCATCCAAGCTCCCAGCCCAGGCTCGGACTTTGCCAACTGCCACGGCTGGGGGTGGCTTGGGGATGCGGCGAGGAAGCAAGAGGGCACGAAGGTCAGGACCCAAAATGCAAACTCTCAACCCCCCAGCTGAGACAACCAAAAGCGTTTACACATGCAGAGATCACAGCCCAGTAACAGGGCTCGGGGTTGCGCCGGGCGCAGTTCTCCGACTCTTCAGTTGTTCCTAATAAAGTAGATTACGTTGCCCTCCCAGAGCTGATTGGGAGGGAATCGAGAGGAAAAGGGGGGAACGCGGGAAAAAGCCGGGGGGAGCAGCAATCAAGTTTGTAACCCAGCGCTTCCTCGCGCGATCCGTCGCCATGCTTAAGATTCCCACCCCCGCCACCCCCCTCTTTCCTTTCAAGTGGATACTGAAACTAGGCCAAAACTTTTTCCCCTCCTTTTCTCTTAGCCACTAGACTGGATTGTGCCCCACGGAGCCCCATGGAGCTCTGCTTTCTTAAGCACAATAGCCGGACTAATTAGATCATAGAAGCAAGGCAGTGATACTGTAACAAGTAGCCCGAGAGGCAAAGAGGGAAGGGGCCCGAAAAGAGAGGAAGGGGGAAAAGTTTGCAGCTCTCGCACTTACCAATCAAGCCTCCCACCAGAAAGGCGATGATTTGGAACACAAGCAGAATCCCACCAACAATGCACAGCTTCTTGGTGCTCATGTTTTCTATAATTGCCCCAGCCATTTTTGCGCCCCCCTTTTTCTTTCCTCCTTGAAATAAATGTTTTAGGGTGTGTTTTTGCTCCCTCTCTGCTCACGCTCCCTTCTCCCTCGCCTCCTTTCCAGGCGCTGAAAAACTTCAGGGGTACGGGAGCGCGGCGAGGATGGGACCGGGACGAAAGGCGCCCGCGCGGATTCCCCCGGCACAGCCGGCTCGGGCTCCCCCAATGCCCGGAGCTGTGATTGTGGCCGCTCCGCCGCCTGTGGACGCTTAAAGGAGCAGGGAAGCGATCACATGACGCCGCCTCCCTCCCTTTCTTCCTCCCTCCCTCTCGCGCTTCCTCCCTCCCTCCCTCCCTCTCTTCCTCTCCCCCTTGCCCGCCGGTGCGGGGCTCCGAGCTCCGCCGGGTGCCCGTGTCCCGCTCCCGGGTCTGGCAGGCAGCCTGTCCCGCCAGGAGCTGGTATGGTTGAGGGGGCTGATGTTGTTGTTTAGTGGGTTCCCCCTACTCCGCTTCCCACACGTTTCCTCTTTTGGTGCGAGATTTAAATCACCCGTGGGCAGCTTTGCAGACCTTTAACTTACGCGTTGACTTTAGGAAATGGTCCCCGCCCCCAACTGCTAGAACTCTCTTTAGGAAAGAGGAGAATTTTTTAAAGGGACCCAATAGATGCTTAAGTCAAAGCACGGAGATGAGGAATAAAGTCTCAGCTGGGCTTCCTTCTGCCAGATCCCAGCCTCGTTATTGGGCAAATATCCAGCAAAATACCCCCACTGCACCCCTTGAAGAACCCTGCGCTCCAGCCAAATCAGGCCACTGTTCATTACTACATTATACCCCCAGCTCCATAGGTTTCCTGAGCCTTAACTCTGGCTCTTGCCCTAAAAGAATATATTTTACCCCATCGGAGTTTTAAACCTCATTGAAAAACCAACTCATCTGAAAAATCTTGTTTATTTTCTAAACCACCTCCTTTTGATATCTTCAGGCACTAAGCCCTACAATTCCTGTGTTTACGTTCTTTCCTCCTATTGCAAGGACTTGTGTGTACACGTTTGTCTCCACCATTGAGCTGTAAATTCCTGGGGATAGGGACCGAGTGCTATTCATCTTGGTACCCCCCGTGGTGCTTAACAAAATTCTAGCTCTAGTAGGTCGTCCGTAAACTTTTGTGGAATGAATAAATAAGTGAATATGAAAGCAAACCCACAGTGTGCATTTCAAAAGCCTGGGACCTTATTTAACTTAGAGGGAACACATATTAAGTTACAATGTTTGTCTTTTTTTTTTTTTGTAAGGATATATTTATATTTATGCTTAACTTTCAGGGGGAAAGGCAAGTGGGACCCTAGAGATTTCCTGCTCCATCAAGCCTAAATTCCTGGGCCTGGTTGTTCCATGTTTCATAAACTGGCCACTTGGCCAGTATCACTCACACTGCCCAATAGACCCTTGGTTTGGTAATACCCTGTTCCCATACATACACCATTTCCACCACCCACCACCCCTGACACACCTCGTCTCTTGACACTCCCCTCCAGCTACACCCTCTTCATGCCAAGGGAATATCCCAAGTCCTGTCTCCTGCCTCCTCTGTTTCTGATTTTTCATTGCCCTTATAGAAGATGCCATGCAGGTTACACTTACTAGAAGTGTTCATTTCTACCCTCCAGCTAGACTAGACACTCCTTAAAGACAGGTGCCAAACTATGTATATATATACACAATATGTATATTCCACCTCTTTGAAGTCTAACAGTTTTTAACAGTTCTGGGGATACAGTTGCTATTTATTTATTCTTTCCTTTCATCCTTTAATCAATAGGCACATACTTAATTTGTCCTAAGCTTTCTTTTCTAAGTACTTGAGGATACCAAGGTATGAAGACACTTGCCCTTGTCCTGGAGGAGCCCTAGTCTAGCTGTTACTCACTAAATAGTCATTAACAATCTTTAAAGAACACCAGTTCAAATGGCAAATGGGCAGAAGAGCACAGAATTGAGGTTAACAGTTTGACTGGTACCTAAACATAGATAGACCAACAGTGGATTATTTGTATTCCTTCTTTACCTTTTCAGAACTTTTTACATCTTTTTTCCCCCCTTCAGGAGGAGGTTCCAGAGCATCATATAAAAGAAGAAAGAATGTCCCCTCTCCTCTACCGCTAGTTAACTCCCCATTCTGTGTTCTCATTTCAGCAAGCTGCCAGCTTCCACACATTTAAATAATACTGCCTTAGGGTTAGAATATCTTTTTTAATATCAAGGGATATTTCTAAAGTAAGGTTGACAGGATTCAGTATCAAGATTTACTCTCCATTTGATACCACATTTCACTATTTAAGAAGAAATGGTATCTAATGCACTTTAAGTATGAATTGGGTCCATTAGATATTCTTAGCTAGTTGCATTGGTTTAGTGAGATTAGTGAGTTCTCAATTCATTTTCTTATCAGCTGCTACAACACACAAATGCATGTCTTCAGAATAACTGGCCTAACTCTTTAGGTTCCAATGTCCACATCTGGAAACTGGAGACTTGGAATAAAGCCCTGTTCCTCACAAAGATTATCCCCTATTGTGAACAGGTACTTATACAACCAATTTAGTTAAAAAAAGATATTTCTAATTGCCTATCAATACCTCTAACTTGTCTGAGATTACCAAAATTGCCAAACTGAGTGTAGGGCAGACACATGTTCATCAACCTGAGTGTAGGGCAGACACATATTCATCACCATGAACTGCCTTAAAAAAAAAAAACTCACAATGTCTGTTATGTCTTTATGAATATTAAAAGTGACTATTAGATCCATATTTCCCAAGGGAATAACATAGCTAAGTAGAAACAAGCATGAGCATTTGAGTTGCTGGATCTAGGATGGCGCCTAGATCCCAGCTTTGCCCCCTTGCTGTATGTGATCACTGCAAGTCATCACACAGTCATCCATTCTGAGGCTCAGGTTTCTCATCTGTAAAATGGAGATAGTAATAGTATCTGCTTCACAGTATTCTTGCAAGATATGATGATGATGATGTTGATGATAATGATAATTAAATTTAGGAGCCCTTAAGTGAAAACAAAACCCTTGTATTAAAAGACTAGTAAAACTGATCACTAACTGATTCTTTCTCAGCTCTAAAATTTTATCATATTATAATTATTTTTGGAAAACATGTTTTAGGAGCTTCCTGAGTGATTAACTATTTGAAAAAAGTGCTAATAAGGCCAACATCTGGTATTGAACTCTGAAAAACACTCAGTGATCTTTAGACATTAAAACATCCTATTCTAAAACCTACTCCCAATCACCAGTGCATGTGTATGTTAATCACTCAGTCATGTCCAACTCTTTGTGACCCCATGGACTGTAGCCTTCCAGGCTCCTCTGTCCTTGGAATTCTCCAGACAAGAATACTGGAGTGGGTAGCCATTCTCTTCTCCAAGGGTTTGTGGTCATTGGGTAGATTGTCCAAAAGACAGATAATCCAATGGTGCAATCCAGCTATGCCAACTGAAATTGATCATTCCAGTTTCTTACCATTAGACTTTAAATTGGGGATCCTGATTTATCCATTGATTTATTTGAAGGGTTTGGCATATGGAAGATCTTAAGGATGTGCAATGCATGTTAATTGATGGATGAATGAATGAATGAACATATGAATAAATGAATAACTGCAGGTGGACTCACTGCAACTCCTCCCCCTCCCTCAATCCCATTCCTACATAGCAGTTACTGATTAAATGCCCATCTGGCATATTTCCCTGCACCAAAGTTTGCACACCTATCTATATATGTGCTGTGTTGGCGCCTCTGGCTTGCAAGCTTCTTAGAAACAAGGGGAGTATGACCTGAGCCTTTGTGTCTCTCACAGCCCAGCACAGCAGCTTGCACAGAGAAGGGCTCAGTTCCTTGAGTTGAGAAAGTCCCCTCTGGAAGCCAAGGGTGGCATATGATTATTGTCATTGCAGTAAATGTAACATTGAAATAGAAAAGAATTATATCTACCTACTCAAACACCTAATTTACTTCTCAGAGGGACCGAACAAGAGTAATAATCCCACTCTGAGGCTTCTCATTCTCATAAATAGCTTTTATCCATAAATGGCATCCCCGTGGCTCCTCCGCTGTTGGTATTTTCTCATAGTTAGTGCCTGTGAATGTGAGCAGGCATTTTGGGTTCACACTCTATTATTCAGTGTCACTTCTCTCTCTCCCACTCTCCCTTCCTCTCTCTCTCTCTCTCTCTGTGTCTCTATGAATATATATATTCAGTTTCCTCTAAAATACTTATTTTTTTCCAGATGGAACCACCCTCCCCATCTTTCTCTGAGTCCCATTGTCTTGCTTTGTGTATATGTACAAGACTTTCCCCAGGCCCTCCCTTCACATGCTAATCTTGATAGCAACTATTTAGAACCCAGAGCTTGGAAGATCAGTATTTCAACCTTATCTTTAGATGAATTTGTTTAAGCAATAAACATCCCCACCTCTGCTCCCTTTTACACATCAGCACCTGCCCTGCCGTTCTCCACTTCACCTTTTCTTTCACATTCCTCATACATTTCAGACATTAGACTTACTCATGCTCATTTTTGCTGCTGCTGCTGCTGCTAAGTCGCTTCAGTCGTGTCCGGCTCTGTGCGACCCCATAGACAGCAGCTCACCAGGCTCCGCCGTCTCTGGGGTTCTCCAGGCAAGAACACTGGAGTGGGTTGTCATTTCCTGCTCATCTTTTAAGTCTTACTAACTCTATAAATAAGCTTGAGAAAATTACATACCTTTTTGATATTTATTTCTTTTTTTAAAAAAGGTGAAAATATCAACCTTATAGGTTGTGGTGAGCATTAAACAAAATAATGTTACAAAGTGCCCAGCAGAGAGCAACAAAGTGGGCATTCAACCAACATTTTGCATGTTGTTAAGGAGATTTCTGTTCCCAGAAAGGAGAAAAAAACAAACAAACAAACAAGAAAACCCCAAAGAACTATGAAACACCTAATTATTGTCTCATAAAATTGT